AAAGTGAATTAAATACATTGAAGGATGATTTATTGTCTTTTACACAAAGAGGATACATAAACCATCGACTTAATCAGCCCCATACAACAGCAAGCCCCTTCCAGACCCGCAGCTAAACCCTAATGCAGACATCTTCAGTCCTGTTAGAAGTCACATCCCAGATATGAATATCAGCAATAGGAGTGATCTAGTACAAAGGAAGCCACAGGAATTCGATGGGAAGGCACCGTGGGAAGCATATAGAGTACAATTTGAGTTCCTGGCAGAGATGAATGGATGGACAGAGGAGCAGAAAGCAATATATCTGGCAACAAGTCTGAAGGGACAACCACTGGAAATACTTGGACAGTTGTCAGCAGACGACAGGCACAACTACAGAGCACTGGTAGCTGCTCTAGAGCTCAGATAAGGAACTCAAAATCAGTCTGAAGTCTACAGGGCTAGGTTTAAGACAAGAGTCTGTGCTAAAGGGGAGAGCCTACAAGAGCTGGCACAGGACTTGGAAAGTATGGCACACAAGGCCTACCTAACTGTGCCATCCGATGTCCTCAAATTATTGCTGAGTAATCAGTTTGTAGATGCCTTGAACAGTCCACAAGTGAAGCAAGCATACCCCTCTACTATATAAGATGCAATGGCCAGAGCTCTTGAATTTGAATCCTACATTAAGTCCAGCACAGAGGTACCAAGGTTGGTACAGTCATCAGGATTGAAGGCCAGTAAAGGTCAGCTTTCAGAGAGGATTGGGGACCTTGCTGGCACTGTAACAAACCAGGGCACAAGAGAGCTCAATGCTAGAAACTTCAACACAGAGAAGATGCCACGGCAAGAAAGGCTGCTACCCAGAAAGGTTGCTGGAACTGTGGAGAGCAAGGATATATGAGGAGCCAGAGTAAGAAGAACACTACCAATAAGTCAGCTTTGGGAAACCAGTAGTGGTTGGTGTTGAGGGACGCCCACCAACTCCCATCGTGAAAGTCCCAACAGCTAAGTGTAAAATGGCAAGAACACATAGTGTCTACGTGACAGGGAAGCTGGATGGCCAAAGGTGCGACTTTGTCGTAGATTCTGTATCTCAGCAAACCCTTGTGAGTATCAAGGTGCTAAATCACAAAGGAGTACCAGAAGCAGCCATACATAAGCTCTGTGGTGTGACAGGACATCATGCAAGGCTGTGGGGACCAGTGTGGGTAAATATTGAGCTCATGGGCATGAAAAACAGACAGAAAGTATACTTGGCTGACATTGAAGACCAATGCGTATTAGGATTGGACTACTTACTACCGAGGAAGTGTGTAATTAATTTCGATAAAATGACGATTGGAAAC